ACTTAAAAAATGCTATCAATATACAAGGCGTTCAGCAGAGTCTTGCTTATTTTCAGTGTTTCCTCATCTGATTATATCAGTTTGCCCAGGTACACCAATAGCGCCATAGATACCTATAGTTTCACAACAAAGTCACATGATGGGTCAAAAGACGCACAGTCCACCATGATAAAAATGCCAACTTGTTTTTTCAGAACCTCTACCTTAATAGGTGATGTGAGAGGCTGGTTGTCAATAATCACTTGCACAACAGATCACTTAAGGGGCGAAAGCAAATAAATTATTGCATTTACAGGTGACATACACATAGCCACTTTTCCTGGTGAGTGTTTATTAGAAAGTGTGGACAGGAAGTATGCAAGAGTTTGCATATCAGCACATATCTGTCCCAGCTGCTGAGCACAGGAGTGCTGCAGGAGTGAGTGCAATTTAGCAGCAAACACAGACACTGGTGGAGGTAGAGACAAAAGGAATGTGCAGAGAAGACTTCACAAAGCACTTGGAGTTCTGCCTATTTTCATACCTGCAATGTGCATCTGGACAATTACTGAGGAGGGTGTGACTGTCAGCCAGTCTCGATTAGATAAAAAATTTGGGCAGAGCCTCTTCAACCATTTTCTGAGGGCTTTTTAACACTTTCAGAGTGTCTACAAGAGCATAAACAATAAGTGGTTATAATCCCCAAAGGATGACACAGGCAGGGATGGTGGACCTGCTATGTTTCACAGTTTTCACTGCTATGTTTCAAAGTGGTGGGTTTGGGAAGTATGTTTACAACAATCTGTGGTGTGAAATGATGGGGTACCAGGCTTGCCTGAATCCTACTTAGACTACTCATTGTATCGAACAACGACATGTATCATCTCCACTAATTTCTATCCTAACTTGACGGTTAAATGGTATCAAGCTCATAGAAGAATAATTTTATTCTTGCTTCTGTTTACCGCCTAGGCACATACCCGACACACGGTGCAGGTGTATACTAAAGCAGCCTTTGCTGCTGCCTTCTGGTCATGGCCTTTACTCTTCTTGATGTCTGCCTGCTTTTTGGCATTCTTCTGCTGGGACTGGAACTTCTGGTGCCCACGGGCCATATCTGACGCTAGACCTGAAGAAATTATACAGGAATGTGATCAGCACAACACCATGGAGAAGGTGATGAGCCATTAACTTAATTTACCACAAAACCTAGCTTGCACACAATGACTTCTGTGAAGCGGATGGAGAAGAAAATGTAAAGCACAGAAGGACTGAAGGACCACCGCCTGGAAACACTAAGCAATTACACCACCTGAGGCTTCTGATGAAGCCACCTTGATGATTTACAATTTAAGGACAGCTGTCTTTAGAATCAACATACTTCAAATGTGAAAGAAAGCAGTGGCTGGAAACATCTTCAAAAACTAGGTTAATTGCTGTTTTTTTGGGTCACATGAATAAGGCAATTAACTTGGAAATTTCCCCAAAGAAAATCAGACTGCACATATTCAAAGTTATTATAGACAGACTACTGGAACTAGGTCAGTGATATGGTTTTGTTTTTGACTGATATTAACGTTGGAGGGACCGATAGTCTTTCAATACACTGGGGTTAATCAGTAATCCCAAAAAGTGTGTGTTGGACAGGAGTGCCCATTGCTGTCTATGGCTGTAACTTCACATTAACCTACGCGGCAACCTTTTCCATTAAAAATGCCCTCCACCCATGAGCACTATGGGTGCTGTGAGGTCAGTCACCGCCATGCACTGCTCTCATACGGCTATTAACACTAACCTTAGCTAACGGTATCCGCTAGGACTGGTTTAGCTCAACTTCAGCCAACCACCGAGCAGCGACGGTTACAAAGGTATAGCGTGGAAGACAGGGTCGTCTTATGAACATAAACTCACATCTCCAAGTACGTTTATAGAAGAAATAAAACATCAATTTAATTTCCTAATAATCTGGAGAGTCAAGCATTCTGTTAGCCGGTGTTGCTATCGCCGACGCTAGGTTAGAGCACATGCAGATAATAGGAATGCTGATAGATATTAAGCATTAAGAGTGGTAATACACATTTTGTAAGTGCCTTACCAGTGATAAGTAAATGTATTGTTGAAGATAGCCACCAAAGTAAAATTAAAGAAACGCTATATTAAGTTCTCTGGACCTTCCGCAGCTTCTGCTGGTTTGTCCTCTCTCTGCGCTTCTGCGCATGCCCTGCACTGTGCGGCTTTCAAGTGTTGTCAGTGGTAGCGACAGATGCGTTCACAAATAGGTCTACGCCTTGCAGTTGATGTTGCAGGGATATGGGTGGGATAGGAACATTTCCGACAGCACATAAAGGCAGCACACGTTCCATCCTCTCTTGCTTCAACGTCAGCAGATGAAATAAAGCAGATAAAATAATAATAAAAAACAACATTAAATACGACTGTACCAGAGTTTAATGAGTGTAAAAGGAGCCCTTTACCCATAAAAACCCAACTCTGAAAACCACATGTATAGGTGACTATTTGCATTTTCTGTCTGCTTGGTGCAAAATGGAATGCCTACCACAAGGTGTCACGGTACAGACAACAATAGGCCGAGTTTACTCAGACCAGCCACTGTACTTTCCTAAATAACGAAAAGGTATAATATGTGATTCATGAGAGATTTTATCTTAAACGGCAGTTTTGTCATCTAGAGCTGAGGGTATCCCAAGGTATGTCTATGTGTCCTGATCACTAGAAAAGCTTACTGTAATATTGAAAAAAAGATAAGATTTTATTCAATTTCATTTTTAGAAACAGATGTCATTATTTGAGAAGTTATTCTATGTCGCATGGCAAACGGAGGTACTGAGTTTTCGAACTTAAAATAATACTTTTAATGTAAAATTATAAACTAATTTGATTGAAGAAAAAGTATTGCATTTGGAATATGTTCCCTAAATATATATTTAATTTAAAGGGTGGAGTTAAATTTCAACTAAAATGTAATAACAAAGTTGACAAATTATGTAAAATTAGCCAATTTTTATAAACAAGCTCTGCTGGCATGAAAAATTATGTACAAACATACTTTTTTTCACCAAGTAATTATTACATTTGGAACAACAAGAATATTCAATATAAAAATATATCTCTTTATTATGGGAAATGGGTTGACAATGGCATTATATTGGTAAAACAACTTGTTAATGCTGAGGGGGAGATACTGATGTATAATGAATTCCTCTCCAAATTCACTCTACCAGTTTCACCCAAAGAATATACTGTAGTTTTTAATGCTTTGCCAAGGGGGGTGCTGCAGCTTTTGAGAAGTACAGTAATTGAGGATTCAATCATCGACATATCTGATAGAGGTATATTCCTTGGAGAAGTTGATGTTACCAAGAATAAATGTTCAAACAAACACATCAGGAATTACATACAAGCTGTAACTCTGCCCCAGTTAGATTCTCTTGGGCTTCAATTTATGATGACATTGATTGGCAGATAATTTGGCTAGTTGGGGACAAATTCTGTGCTAGTATTAAGAGGCCTGCATTGGATATATGTAGCAAAAAAGACATTGGGGAGATTTGGACTTGATATTAAATATTCTTGTACTTTATGTGAATTAAAGAAGAAACAAGCTGCTATTTATTGTGTCACTGTATCTGTACCAGATTATTTTGGGTGGATGTTCAACTTTACATAAGAGGAAAAACTGGGCAAAAAATTAAATTGCAGGATAAAGACATTTTGTGTGCTTTGAAAGTAATAAGGTGGAAAAAGATTTTTTATTTATTTTATTATTTTATTTACAATACATTTTATTATTATGGGGAAAATTCCACATTCACAAGAAGAGGTAGGCAGACTCCAAACCTAAACTTGAACTTTTATATCAAGAACTACAACATTATGGCACTGCAGTAAGAGTCCTTAAGAATAAAAAGACAATAAGAACAAACTTGATAAATTCCATATGAACAAATCCAGACAGTATTCTGGACTGATATTACTTTTTTGTTATTTTTTCCTCTCCTTTTTCCTTTCTTTTTGTTTTTCCTTTGTAAATATGTAACCCTGGTATGGATAGTTCTGTGTGTATATAATGTGAA